GTAGTGGTACCACATGTATATAGGGTTAAAAGTATGAGTTGTATGAGTCATTAAATAGTGATTTGTGGATGATTTTGAGTTTAATTGTGTTGAATGAAGTGTTATAAATATTTAGGATTAGATGACTTGTATTAATATAAGTTGTGGTTGTCAAATGTGTTAGTATGTTATCCATATGTCTTATATGTGCTATATATATATGTTTGAGATATATTCGCACTCCTCTTGTGTTTGCTTTGTTGCTTTTCTTGTTTGAGTTGAATATCATGTAAGAGTTTATTAAGTATATGAGAGTGATCATGTGGGAGAAAAAGCTTGATGGTTCTTTTTGATTTATGGGTCTTGTTATGATAATGTCATATCAAAGTTAAACAGTGTTATGTTATTTTCTTTATTACTTGGACTTAGCTTAGTTTTTATTATGTTTGTTATTTTACAGTTTGTAAAAGTTGGTTTGTAAAAGTTGGTTTGTGAACTTATATCCTATTTTTTTGTCTTTTTATTTTATGAGATTTTTATTTAAGACATATAAACCCTTTTACAATATAAAGAAAAAAGTTTGTTTTATATCATTTTTCTAAAAGAAACATAATTTTTTTTAATAATTTCATAATAAACGCTTTAGGAATAGAAATATGTCACATTTAACGAATAAAAAGATTAAAAAGTAATTATTTCAATTGAATATTATAAATGTCGTATTTTGCAACACAACTTATGCCTATGGTTATTTTCTATGTTAAAATAATTTTTTATGTAAAATTAAAAAAAATCATATTTTAAAACAAGTCTTCTATGTATTTTATTTCCACTAATTTATTTTATTCTCTTATAATATTCAATTTGCGGTTCTGAAACACGACTTTTACTTTTGAAATCATGTTTCACAAATGCAATTTACTAATTTTGATCAGTTTTAATAAAAAAAAAATTTATAAAAAAAAATACCCTACTTTTCTAAAAATGCCCCGACCTTGGCTCCTAATCCCCATGAAAAAGCATGTTTCACTTTCACTACGGTAAACAATAATGAATAGCAAAGAAGAGTAGTTACTGTTTAACTAATGCTGGTTGACAAATTTTTTCACTTTTTCTCTTAGAGAGTTGTTGGATAACATTTTTGTCATCAAATAAACAAACTTGGACCAAATGTATACAGAGAACTAGAAGGAATAGCTCTACCTGTTTCCCATCTACGAATAATTTACATCATGTAAGATAATAAAATTTTGAAACAAACCATTGTACTGTCTTTATGTTTGAGTTATTTTTCAATTTTCATGGACCACACTTGTCTTACACATGTATAAATGTTTGCCGACTTGCAATGCGGGGACACCATCGATGCCAATTACTGAGACTCATAGAAAACTGATTGATTAATACTGCAGTAGTCATAAATTCGGAAAGACGTGTGACAAAAAGAGAATTGAAAATCTCTTCTTTTTTTTTTCTTTTCATTTTTTATATTTTTTTATAGACCACAAGTATATTTTACTGTAAATAAAATTATTGTCTTTTTAATATTTTAAAAAGTTCAAAAGTCAAAATTTAGAGTCAGAAACAAATACAAATACCCCATGTTTTATATTTGAATTTTGATGTCATTGTAATTTCTATATTAAAAAAAAAAAAAAACTCATGTCCTCCATAAAATAAGGTTAATTAATGGTCTTGTCTCTTGTGGATTAAATCTAGTAACTCTCTTTCATTAATGGAATCTACTGAAATCTTAGAGTATCCAGCCATCCATATCTAAAATAAATGCAGATTCAAAGTAGTCTGCCACGTGCAAGCATGCTTTGAGTATACTTCTGTATGTTTACAACTTTACATATCAGTATACAAGCAACAGTTAATTAGTGTTATCAATGAATAACATTTTTTCTTATAATTGAAGTTAAATAAATGTTTACCCGTCTAGCAAGACTTTAATCCCATGTCAATTTCTATTTCGTATTTGTTTAAGAATAAAAAAAATCCGCAAAATATAATTATTAAAATGGATTTTGATATTATTTAAAAATATAAGTTAGATTTTCTCAAACTTATAAATCAGGGTATAACCTATTTATATACTGATAGTCATATCATAGTCTATGTACAATCTCTGATGCACTTTATCGCATAGGTTTTTCTTTACCTTCAACAGAGTTTTGGGAGAACATGAGTGAATTACTATAAAAAGAAAGAAAGAAAAACTCATTTTTTTAAACCCTTGTTTTTTGATTTGCAGTGTGAATAAAACTTTTGTTTTAGCTCTTTTTTGAAAAAATGTTTTAGCTCTAATATTAGCAAATCTCTCGTTGTTAATATATAAATTGATTGTTATATATGATTCAATTTGTTTGTTTCTAAACTTCCCAAAGTATACCACATCAAGCACCTGAGTTATAAATTCCAATTTATTGTGTGATTGTTTATGGCCTTCATATCAAATCAATAACGGGTGTGAAACGATTGTTGAAAAAAGAAATATCCTTCATGCATAATGAAAATAAAAGAGTATACTACAACAAAATAGACTTTTAGTGGCATTTAATATGACTTTTAGTGGCAATAAAAATTGTTACAAAATCTTTTACCGGCATTTTCACATTAGCCATTGTATGCAGTGTCGCTAAAACATTTAGCGGCAATTATTTAAAATGCTGGTAAAAACTCTTAATGGTCGAAAAAAATGTATATTTTTTTGTGACATTTTTTACTTTCTAGTCGATGTGGGACTTGTAAGATGAGTACAATCTTTATCTCTAGTTGATGTGGGACTTGTAAGATGAGAGTTGTCTTTCTACTTATATATATTCTTTTTAATTACCTTATTTTTAGTTGATGTGAGACTTTAAGATGAAGGTTGTCTTCTAATTATATATATATTATATATATATATATATAGTCGACCCTCTTAAATTTAAGGATTATTGAGTTTGATAATAGTGATCAGTTATCTCATACTAATTTAGAATAATAAGTTATAGGTCTAACTCAATCCTACATAACAAACTTGTAAGGTGAGAGTTATTATTCATTTATATACTCTTTAATTATCTTATTTCTAGTCGATGTGGGACTAAAGTTTTCCTTAATAAATAATTGTCGCTAATAGAAAATTTTGGTGTAATATAAATATCTTTTTAGTAACCATTATATATTAGTCATTAATACTTTTATTAAATAATAAAACAAAGGCAATTAATTTATTGCCGGTAAATAATTGTCGGTAAAAATAAATTTTGTTGTAGTGTATGGACACACTAAGATAACTAACACAAATATAAATAACAATGACATTAAAATTAAAAAAATATATATATTATCTTGTAGTGATATATAATTTATAAATTAAAAAATACTTTTATCTACAATATATGTTGACATGTTTTAGTAAATATATTCTCATAATTGTTAAAAGTGTAAATATAGGCTATAATACTAATATATAATATATATTATTAAATTTTATTTAAAATTTATATTAAAATCATGTGTGAATATATATTAAATAGATTTATACTTATGTATATTATTTCTATAATGACATTTTGTATATATCACTATATGTAATATTTTTTTATAGTGAGACATGTAAGTGCACTTCGTGTCTAACTACGTCAATGAAACATGATCTTAATAAATATTCATTATCTCAAATTATATTTTAAGAGCATCAACAATATTAATATCTTACGGTATATTGTGTTTAAGTAACCTGTGTCTTATATTTTTTGATTGGAGTTGACTAATTACATGACACAAAGTGTATCTTATAAAAGGTACATAACTTATGAATAAAAAATCATTTATACATCATTAAATTAAATTGAGTAAAAGAGGGGGAAAACTAGTAAATCATATCCAGGAAAAAGATCAATAAGGATTGCGTAAAATTTTACCATTTGAGTTAAAATGTAGCCAGTTGCTTAGATATGATTTGACAACGTAAGACCTAATAAAGTAAAATGAGATACATAATTAAGCAACATACATCATAGGTGCTCTAAGTTTTGTGGACAATCTTGAGAAACCTCTCATTACATGTTGAAAAATTCTCTCCATTACAAAACTCCATCTCCTTTACAAAACATAGTGATGTGATTTGCAAGATTTAAAGATATGAATGTTGTGATTGACATGCTTCCTTTATTGTTATTCCTCGTGACATAAATTAAGTTGACCATATTTTGACAGGATGAGGCTATAAAAATAATCTAAATAATGTTAGATGAAGGAATCCTCCAAATTTTACTTATGTGCAGTGGGAATATATATTAGATTTATGGTATAGTTTCTGTTACTTGTCTTCTTTTTTTTTTTTCCATTACAAAAAAAAAATAAAAACTATATCTCATATAGGGTGCGGTGACCTCTCTCATTCTCTCTCTCTCTATTGGGGGGTGAGTGGTGTCTATTCTTTCCTATCACAATATCTCTCATTTTATAGTAGAGATTCAAGACTATTTTCATCTAAAAAACCATAATAGAGATTCAATATTATTTTCATAAATGTCATACTTCTTCACTTACATGATAGTCATTCACCACCTCATAAAATATATCTCTTAATTTTTCATTTCATTCATTTATTTGGAAATAATAATTGTTTTGGTGACAGAAATATCACCTGTGCTTAGGAAAACGTATGATGGTGGTCTTGATGAAAGAGCGGGTGACAGATAAATAAATAAATGTATAAAGCAAGGTTTTCATAGAAAAAATATTTATAATTATTGGTATCAAACTAAAATGACCTACTAGTGTACTATACCACCGTACCGTTCTTATATTTCATAAGGAAAATATTTATGATTAATATTAAGGTATCAATGCCCTACTACCACCCTACCCTTTATGATTAATATTCAGGTATCAATGCCCTACTACCACCGTACCCTTCCCATTTATAAGTTTTATATATAGGTTTAACTGTTGGACTGCTAGGTGCTGCACAAGAACAAGCACAAGGTCTGATTGCTGTTTTCTTATTAGTTTTTCTTTTAAAAATGGGAAGGATGGCATGCTGTGAGAAGGTAGGGTTGAAGAAAGGACCATGGACACCTGAAGAAGACAAGAAGCTTATGTCTTATGTTGAAAAACATGGTCACGGAAACTGGCGTTCAGTTCCTGCCAAAGCGGGTAATACAACGTCTCCATACCTTAGTTTTAATCTCTTGTGAGTCTACATGTTCTTGAACCATCGAGGAACCAAACTTAATTTAATTCCTAATTTTATTTATATATGCTACAAACATTTATATATAGGTCTTCTAAGATGTGGGAAGAGTTGCAGATTGAGGTGGATTAACTACCTCAAACCTGATATAAAACGAGGAAACTTCACATTTGAAGAAGATTGTACCATTATTCGACTCCATGCTCTTCTTGGAAACAAGTGAGGTTTCTGCTTTGAAATTTTCTATATATGGTTAATAATATGAATGCATATTATTTCATGTTTTTTTTTTTTTCAAGAGTCACTTTTACGTACGCTTTTCAGAAATGGATAATTATTTTCCCACTCATATTCTCTACATTTTTCCCCACTTAAAAATATGCAAAGAAATTATAGAGAAATGTGATAAGATAAATAGTATTATAAAAAAAATAAGAGGATAAAAAACTATTTATCAACCATCATAGACGGATCAATGGGGTAAATTGGGGCCTCCCCCTCCCTCCCTATGGACTCCTAAAATTTTGTTTACAATAAAGTATATTATATATCAAATATGTGATTATATTAAAAAGATGAATTAAAAAATTATACTTATTTTATATTATTGATGATTTTATGATTTAAAAGAATGATATTCATAAGTTAGATAAATAACATGATGTATTTCACACTTTATGATTTAATATTTATTTAAATTTATTATTAAAAATTTAATATTTAACTATTTTATATAGAGAGAGATTAGGATCTATTGACACTAGATTATCAAATTAATGAAATGATATATTTAAGAGTATTTTATAAAAAACTTAATCGATTCAAATATTTGTATTTGATGATGTTATATTTATATAATCATATATATCAAATTTCAAATGATTTATATCCTTCTAAATTTGTTATCTACCAATAATATTTAAATATACAAAATTTTATATTAATCCAAGATGATTTGATATTTTATTCTTGTAGAACAAAAATTGACGTAATATATACATTTCAAAATATACTAAAATATGAACACTTTGATTATTTTCAAGTTATTGTTCAATTTTAACAAAATTTGATATAACCATATGAAATGATATGAACTTTTAATCTAACGGTTAAATTTACAAAATTTAAATTTAATATAAAGTTATTAAATAATATAATATTTAGTAAAAGTTACACCGGTATTATTATAACTTTCATATATATATATATATATA